TTTTTACTGTCGCTGTAGCTTTGCTTTTTCTGGAATGTCATATTGAGGCAGGATAGAAAGCCAGGGAAAATTAAAGGAACATGGAAAGGGAAAAAAGAAGGTCAATACCTTCAACACAACTGACAAAATAAAGATTACATACAGAGACAGTATTCTCCTTTTTCCAAGAGATGCCTTAAACAAGAGCAATAAAAATCAACAGGTAAACCATGATTGCTTCAGACCAGAGCATGTGCATCCTTTCAGGTGAGTAGCATCAGTAAATCCTTCCTCATCCTTAGGCCTGAATAGTGTGCATCATGAAGCCACCTTACAATTTCACTTACAAAAAGCAAATTCTTTTTTTTTCCGGGACAGGGTTTCTCTGTTGCTTTGGAGCCTGTCCTGGAACTAGCTCTTGTAGACCAGGCTGGTCTCGAACTCACAGAGATCCATCCACCTGCCTCTGCCTCCTGAGTGCTGGGACTAAAGGTGTGCACCACCAACCCCCAGCAAAAAGCAAATTCTTTAAGAAGAGAAAGGGAATCAGCTCATATATTTTTACTTAATTTTTAAAATTGCTTAATCTTTGAGCCTGGTTGTAAATTATAGCCTCTGAACAATGAAACTTCAAAAGTCACAAAACCTCAGGCCTATAAGTAACATTAAGTGTTATTCTTTCGTGGGCCCAGAGAAATGGGTCAGTGGTTAAGAGCCCTGCTGCCCTTCCAGTAGACCTGGGTTTGATTCCCAGCACCCACATGGTAGATGACAATAATCTGTAATTCCAGGTCTGGAGGACCTGATGCCCTCTTCTGGCCTCTAAGGGCATCAAGTACTTACATGATACACACCCATACACGACACAAAACACCCCCATACATAAAATAAATAAATATTTAAAGATATTAGTCTTTTCTATAAAACACTATAAAACTTGCATTTACAGCAAGAAATTCCAACATTTTCATCTATCACTTTGTAAGACTTGTATGCCCCACCCAACCTAGTAAGTTAACACAAAGCCGCCTCTGTATTTCAAGATAGCCTAGAGCAATGACCTCCTTTCCTTTCTGTCATTTCCTTTTTTATATTTTATTTTTTACTCATTTTGCATACCAACCACAGTTCCCCCTCTCCCTCTCCACTTACCCCCAACCCACCACTATCCACTCCTCAGAAAGGGTAAGGCCTCCCATGGGGAGTCAACAAAGCATGGCACATTTCTTTTATGCTGATTCTTTTAAAAGTAGCCAGTCAAGAAAAGCTGTGAAGTCAGACCCCAGCCAATGGGGAAAAGATACACTCACCACCTGCGCTAAAACAAAAACCAAGTTCACATCCATGTCTTGGTGTGTTTGCTCTTCCAAGTGCACCTTCTTGAAGAGTAAAGTGACTGTTCTAGAAAATTACTTGGATTGGTGGTCTCTTTCTTTGTGTTCCCAATTTCTTTCTTTCTTTCTTTCTTTCTTTCTTTCTTTCTTTCTTTCTTTCTTCCTTCCTTCCTTCCTTCCTTCCTTCCTCTCTCTCTCTCCCTTCCTTCCTTTCCTTCCTTTCTTCTTTCTTTCTTCATTCCTTCCTCCCTCCTTAAAGGGCATGCACCACCACTGCCCGACTCCCAATTTATTTCTAATATAGCTCTCTTGCTCTCTTAATGTCTGCACTTAAATATAAAACATGTACAATTTCTCTTTCTGCTTAATAAACTTGCCAACTTTGCTCTATTCCAACTTACCTCAAGATTTTTTTCTGTGGCATGGTCAAAGACCCTGTTTTACCTGAATAGAGTCTGCTAAATGGGACAACTCCTCAGGCTATAGGACTGTATTGTTTTCTGCCTCTAACAATATTTACAACACATGGTCTTGTAGCCTTCTCAGATTAGCTTCTTTCACTTAGCAATATTCGTTTAAGGTACTTCTGTGTCTTTTCGTGGCATGGTAGCTCAATTCCTTTTTGCTTGTTTTGGTTTGAGATAGAGTTACTAGCCTAAGCTGGGTAGCTCATCTGTTTTAGCACTGAATGATATTCCATTGTCAGGTGGTAGCTTAGTTTATTCATTTCCCTGCTAATGGGCATCTTGGTGGCTTCCAAATTTTGGCAGTTATGAACAAAGCTACTCTAAACATGCATGTAAAGGCTGTATATAAACACAAGTTTTCCATCATTTGGTCAAATACCAATGAGCATGACTGCCAGATCATGTGCTAAGAGAATACTTAGTTTTGTGATAAATTGCCAAACTGTCTTTCCAACTGTGTGTACCAAGTTGTACTCCTACAAGCAGAGTGTGAAAGTTCCCACTGCTTCAAACTTTTAGTTGTGTCAGTTCTAGATTTTGATCATTGTAATGCTAGATATTAGTATTTCACAATTGTTTTAATTTGTAATCCTCTAATGACATAATGTTGAATATTTCTTCTATTTTTTGAGACAGTGTGCCATATAGTGCAGTCTAGTCTCAAACTCACTACATAGTTGAAGATGACCTTGCCTCTACCTTCCAAGTAAGGGGATTGCTTGAAGATTTTTTTCAAATTTTTATTTGTCATCTGTACACCTTCTTTGTGAAGTGTTCAGTCTTTCATCATCTTGTGGTTATCATCATCATCATCATCATCGTCCTCATCGTTGTCATTATCGTCGTTGTCGTCTCTCTCTCTCTCTCTCTCTCTCTCTCTCTCTCTCTCTCTGTGTGTGTGTGTGTGTGTGTGTGTGTGTGTGTGTGTGTGTGTGTGTGTGTGTGTGTGTGTGTGTGTTTGTGTGTGTGTACCACTATGGGATCCCAGGATTGCACTCAAGTGGTCAGGCAAAGGAAGTTTTACCTGCTAAACCACCTTGGCAGCTGTTGTTCAGGCCATTTACACATTTTTAAAACATGTTCTTTGATGGGGGATGTTTTTCTGTATGCTGTGAATATATGTTTCTTTTATTGGTTAATGAATAAAGCTGTTTCAGCCAATGTACAGGCAGCATTTAGCCTGGCAGAAAATCCAAGCAGTGATAGAGAAAGGTGTTCTCAGGAGAACACCGTGTAGTTACCGGGATTTACGACACTCAGGCATTCTCCAGTAAGCTAAGACCACGTGAAGATACACAGATTAATAGAAATGGGTTAATAATTAAGAGAAATCTAGCCAATAAGAAGCCTGAACAATAAGCCAAACAGTTTATAATTAATATAAGCCTCTGTGTGTTTATTTGGGACTAAACGGCTTCGGGACCAGGCAGGACAGAAACTTCCATCAAAGTTCTTCATTTTCTTAAGGTCTATTCTTTCTACTTTGTGTATTTGAGGTTAACAGCCTTCTTCAGCTAAGTCTTTTCTAAACATTTTCTCCCACTCTGTGGCTTACCTTTCCGTTCTCTTGGCAGTACCCTTAGCAGAGCAGAACATTTACTATTTTTCTCCTTTTGTATGCTACAGTTCAAACTCAGAGCCTCAGGCATGCTAGGTAAGCACTCTGCCATGGAGCCATATCCCCAGTCTAGAATTTTTACTATTAATGTGTGTAGCATATCAATGATTTCTTCATGCATTGTGCTTTTGTCATTGTTTCTAAAAAGCCATTGCATGTAGGTTCATTGATTATAACAAATGTACAGCTCTGATGTGCTATGTTGATAGTGGATGTTGTTTAGCACCTATGAAGACAGGACTTACATTGGAACTCCACAATTGCTACTCTTTTGCTAGTGATCCAAAAGTTCTCTGAAAATTAAAGTTTGTGTGTTTGTTTTGGCTTTTTGCAACAGACTCTCACTGGCCTAGAATTCATTCTTTCTGTAAACCAGAGAGCTCTCAATCTTGTCGTAATCCTCTAGGATCTGCTGGGATTACAGGTGTGAGCCACCATACCCTGCTAACATTTATTCATTTAAGAAAAACTGTAAAGTCCTAGATGAAGTAGGCCGTCTGCATTATAAGTAAACTAATAACTGAGTGAAAAAGAATCATCACTATATACAAGGCCATCTTTTTTAATTATATTGCCTTCTATGAGTTGCATGGTCTTACACTTTGCATTTAGATCTGTGAACAATTATGAGTTAATTTTTTGTCTATGTTTTCTCTCTTCCTCTCTCCCTCCCTCCTTCCCTTCCTTCCTTCTTTTATTCCTTCCTTTCTTTCTTCCTTTCCTTCTTCTTCTTTCTTTGGCACTTGTTTCAGCACAATTTGTTGAAAATATGTTTTGCTCCATCATGGGTTGCTTTGTTCCTTTTTCATAGAGCAGTTGATTAATTCAAGTACGCCTATTTCTATGCTACACTGATTTATCTGTCTATTCATTCACTAACTACACAGTCATGATTTCTGAAGCTTTACATGTGGTTCTTATGGGGTTGGATGGTGTCAGTCTTCCAACTTTATTCCTTTCCTTCAGTATGCAGTTGGTTATTCTGGGTCTTTTGTGTTTTTAAAGATAAAACTTTAGAATTAGTTTGTTTATATCCAGAAAATAACTTTCTGTGATTTCTATTGGAATTGCATAGATCTGTATATCAACTTGGGAAGACTTGGCATCTTGACAATATTGAATCTTCCTGTTATGAGCATAGAGTATCTCTTCCATTTATTATTTGATTTCTATCATTACAGCTTTATAGTTTCCTCCATACAGATGTATAGCTCATACCAAATTTTTACTCAAGTGTTTGATGCTTTGGGAATGCTAATATAAGGTAATATGTTTTTAAAACAATGCGTAAGTTGGGCTGGAGAGATGGCTCAGAGGTTAAGAGCACTGACTGCTCTTCCAGAGGTCCTGAGTTCAATTCCCAGCAACCACATGGTGGTTCACAACTATCCGTTATGAGATCTGGTGCCGTCTTTTGATGTGCAGATATACATGGAAGCAGATTTTGTATACATAATAAATAAATAAAAATCTTTTAAAAACAATGCATAAGTTATGGTTAATATATAATAGGTTGTACTATACACACAAACATATACATACATACATACATACATACATACATACATACATATCCTGATAAGTTTGAGGTAAGGGTATTCTAAAACTATGAAACATTTCACAATGTTGTCTGTCATCCTTGCCTAGGACCATACTAATCCTCTATGTATTGTCTCAACTCCACATGGTAACTGAAGAAAACACCATACTAATGTGTTTTTAGTTCCAGATTCTTCTTTCTCATTGCAGTTGGCTTTTGTATGTCAGCCCTGTGTCCTGTAATGTCACAATAACTAGTATTAGTTGCCAGAGTTCATTGGGTTTTTTTTTAGATTGTCTAACTCTATGATCATGTTATCTGTGAGTAGAGTTTTCCCCCTTCTTTCTCTGTTTACCCTTTACTACTTTTTTTTTTACACTTTTTTTTTTTGGTTTTTTGAGACAGGGTTTCTCTGTGGCTTTGGAGTCTATCCTGGAACTAGCTCTTGTAGACCAGGCTGGCCTTGAACTCACAGAGATCCGCCTGCCTCTGCCTCCCGAGTGCTGGGACTAAAGGTGTGCGCCACCAATGTCCGACTTTTTTTTTTTACACGTTTTAAATTTATTTTTTACATTCCCATTCCACTTCCCCCCTCACTCTTCTCCTCCTGCTCCCCTCATTCCGCCCTTCCCCCCCATCTGCTCCTTGGAGCTGGGGAGGCCTCCCCTAGGAAGTCTACTAAGTCTGTCCCATCATCTTGTTGGGACAGGGCCAAGGCACCTCCCCACCCCCACACTCCGGTGTCAAGGCTGAGCAAGGTATCTCTCCATATAGAATGGGCTCCACTAAGTCAGTTCCTGCATTAGTGTTAGATCTCGGACCCACTGCCAGTGGCCTCATATATTGTCCCAGTCACACCATAGTCATCTATATTAATACCCTTTACTTCTTTCATCATTGCTATGCTTCCCTGTAAGGTGTTGAAAAGCAGTGGTGAGAAGGGGCATCCAAACTTTTGTTCCTGATATTAGTGGGAAAGCTCCTCAAGTCTCACTATTAAGTATCTTTGCTGTAGATATTTTATAGATTTTTTTTTCTGTTTGGTTTATTTTTTTGAGATGGGATCTAGCAAAAAAGTATCGGTTTGCCTTGAACTGAAAATCCTCTAGCCTCTGTCTCTGTAGTGTTGGGATTGCAAATGTGCACCACCACAAGGCTCTTTTACTCCTAGTTTGCTGAGCGTCTTATTGAGATTGGACACTGATATTTTCATCAAAACCTTTCTCTGCATCTATGAACATTATTGTTTTTCTTTGTTATATTATCAAGTAATGGATTGCATTAATTAATTGATTTTTTGGAGACAGTGTCACACCTTGTAACTCTGCTGGCCTGGAGCTCACTTTGCACAGACTTGCCTCAAACTCTTGGCTCTGCTTCTAGAGTACCTTGATTGATTTTTGAATGCTGAACCATCTTTCATACCTAACATAAATCCCACTTCATTGTGAAGTATAGTTCTTTGTCTACATTTTTGGATTTGATTTTATCTTTGTTTGGTTTTAGTATTAGGATAATGCTAGCCTCATAGAATGCATTAAGAAATATTCCCTCTGGCATCTAGAAAAGTGGCACATTTTTCCCCACAAATATTTGGTAGAATTTACCACTGAAGCAATCCGAGATTGGTGTTTTGTGTTTGGGAAACATACTAATTAGTGAAGCAGCTTCTTTAATAAATACAGGCCTATTCGTATCCCCTAGTTCTCTTTGTGTGGGTTTTGGCAGGCTCTGCCTTAAAGGAATTGGTTGGTTCTGTCTAGGGTGTTGAATTTGAGGGTATAGAGTTGGTCACTGAATTCCTTTATTATTCTTTTGGTGCATGTAGGATCAAGAAATATGCCCTCTCATTTGTGATGTTGTTAATCCATACCATCTTTTTTTTTTCTTTGCCTGGCTTTAAGGCTTATTGGTTTTTAATGATCTTTTCAATGAAGTCATCTTTGGCTTTGTTGATTTTTCTCTAATGATTTTTCTACTTTCAATTTCATTGATTCTGCTCTAATTTTTTATTATTTCTTTTCATCTATTTATTTTGGGTTTAATTTTGCCTCTTTCTAATTTCTGATGGGCTAAGTTTAAGTTATTGCTTTTCCGCATTACTTCTTTTCTAATATTTGCATCCAGTGCTGTAACTTAACCTCGGGGCACTACTTTTGCTCACCATTTTGAGAAGTTCTAGTTTCATTTCCACTTGGTTAAGGCATTTTTTATTTCTTTCAAAATTCCTTCTTTGACTTGTATGTTATTTACAAGCTTAATTTTAATCTCTAACTATTGAGGATTCTATGGACGGATTTCTGTTATTCACTTCTAGTTTCATTCTGCTGTGATCGGAGAGTAGATAGTATGCAATTTCTTTTCCATTAAAGTAGTTAATGTGTGCTTTATGGCCCAGAAAAAGTTACTATTAGCTAACCTTTGTCAACTTGTCCTCATTGAACTTTCAATAATCAGTCAATTTACAATTCAGATTTTCATACCCTAGTACTTTTTTTCTGCTTGTACCTCATTCCACACACATTTTCTTTTTGAGTCATAGTCTTGCCACGCTGTTCTGGCTAGTCTCAGAACTCCTGGCCTCAAGTGATCTTCCCGCCTCAGCAGCCCAAGTACCTGGGGCTACAGATGTGTATTACTGCAACATGCCCATAAGTCTCTGTGCCTCAGGTTGGCATCCTCTGTGTCTAGTGCCTGCCTCCAATTTTAAGGAAGCTGTTTGCCTTGGGATGTCTCTGCTGGACCTAAGGTGAGTTACCATTGTACTCAGCCTTTTACTGTTGTTAGGGTGCAGTGGTGACTTTGTTTTTAAAGCTCTTTATCTGCTCAACTGGATATTAGAAACTAAACTTGGTGCTTTAAGGTTTTTGGTTTGTTTGCTTAGGTTTGGAGTTTCAGGTTCTATGGAGGGACTGTGGTGGTGGTGGATGATTTTGTGTTTGTTTCCTTTTGGTTTCGAGCCAGGGTCGCTCTATGCTGCTCAAACTGACCTAGAACTCTACGTAGCTCAGGCTAGTCTCATACTCACTAGCTCCCTGCCTAGGCCTGCTGGGATTACAGGTATATGACAACATCCCAGGCTTTGGTCTTTTTTTTTTTTAAACTATTTTATAGAATTTATCAGCAAGGCAACTTGGGCAGGACTTTGCCATGGGGAAGTTTCAAATTTGTTGAGGCAATCTTTTTATTTGTTTTAATATATTTATATCTTTCCTTTCTTCTTGAGCCCAGTTTAGAAGTTGTTCTCTCTGGGAATTTTTCTATTTCATTTTATTTTCTAATTTGTATCCACATAGTTATTCATAATATTATATTCACTGTTTTAAATTTTCATAATGTTAGGGAGGGCTGGGTCTTCTCTGTTTTTCTACTGCTCTAGTCAAAGATTTCTCCTTTTCCCCTCAAGTAACCAGCTTCTGAATTTGTTGAGTTTTCTCTATTGTTTTCATGTTCTTTGTTTCCTTGTATTTGTTATTACATTTTTTCTTCCTTTGAATTTAGTTTGTTCTTTAGTTTCTTAGGCCATTTTTTATTTTCATTCCTTATATGTCATGCCTTGTTTTGTTCCTCTGTCTTTTTGCTGACTTCTTCCATATCAAGTAAATGTTTTCTAGCTCATAATATAATATGTTTAGTGATTTTCAACTACAGTATTTTTATGTCATTTTTGAGGACATTATTGTCTTCGTTTTTTTGTTTGTTCTGATTTTATTTGGGGGGTTTGTTTTGTTTCTTAGTTGACTTGAGGATTATAATATATATTTTAGCTTATGTATTAGTTGCTTCTCATTGCTATGATAAAATACCGCCACCAAAAGCAAATTATGGAGGAAAGGATTTATTTTGACATGATTCCAAAGGAGAAATCTAGCTGATGGAGGAAGCATGGCAGCAGGCAGCCTGAACAAGAAGCTGAGTGATCACATCTAAACCTCGAACATGAAGCAGTGAGTAAACTGGAATTGTGGCTAGCCTACGAACTCCCAAAGCTCACCCCTAATTGACATGCTTCCTTCAGCGTTGCTGCACCACCCAATGGTTCCATACCCTCCCTAAACAGCCACCAGCCAACGGTCAAGTGTTCAAATGTGTGAATTTCAGAGGGACATTTCTCATTCAAACCACCACAGTCTACCCCGACCCCCATAGGCTCATTACCATCTCATGATGCAAAGTGCATTGAATTCAATTTCCAAAGTCCCCCATAGTCCTGAACAGCTTCAACATTGTTTAAAAATCTAAAGTTCAAAGTCACCTCTGAGACTCAAGACAATTTCTTAGCTGTCACTCCCTGAATAAAAAAAATCAAGAAGCAAAGTACATACTTCCAACATACAATGGCACATTATCATTCCAAAAGGAAGGGATGAGGGCATAGTAGGGAAATACTGAGCCAAAGCAATACTGAAATCCAGCAGGGCGAATACCAAATCCTGTAGCTCTATGTCCAGTGCTTAGATGGCTCTGCTTCTCCAACTCTGATGTCTGCCACGTGTATCTCTCTCTGGGGCTGGCTCCATCCCCTGTATGCAACTCTCCTTTGCAGATGTCTCACAGCTAGGGCATCTCCAACATCTTGGGGTCTCCACTGCAACTCAGGCTTCACTATCATGGTCACATGCAATGGCTTCTCATAGCCTTCTGGTCTGTCAGGGCCTTCTCACAATGACTCCAACACTGCCACACATTGCCTGGCTTTGGTGGCTCTCTGAAACCATGGAGGAAACATGTACAGTCCCCTTATTCCTGTATCTTGTATGCCTCCAAAGCCAATACTGTTAAGTTCAGCTGCTATCCTGGGATGGACACTCACCACTTTGAATCACATTAGTAGCAGCAGTTGATTTCTAGGAGTCAAAGCCCTGGGCTTCCATTTTCACAAGTTGGAAGCTTCCTTGGCTAGGGTATTGCCCTGAGGGCATCCTTCCCAGTTCTAGTGCAAAGCAGGGCTTCTCTCCCTCACAGTTGCAGCCCCCCTTCCAGCACGTGCCTGGGCTGTAATGTTAGGCTTCCTAGTGCTCTTTTCCTCTCCAAACACTCCATTTTATATTTCTTTCTGCCCCACCTGTTCTTTTCCATTGGAGACCAAATAAGTATTACCAGTAATAACCATGCCACAGATTTGACCTTACGCTGTTTGAAATTTCCTGAACCACAGAAATTAG